TAAGTGAACATAATCGAGAAAGGCAATAAAAAGTGGGTTTGGTGTTATCTGGGCCATTATCTATCTGGAAGGATTAAACTATCGCCGAAGGCCTAAAGAATGTGTACCAAAATCGGTAAAAAAAAAAAAAGTTCCGTGGTAGAAAGGCCACTGGAGAATGGTATGGATTCGGAAACTTAGGAACAAGAGGATTATCTTCGGATAAATAAATGCATTTTGTTATTTGGTGGAATTGTCCCTTTGGTTGTCAAAAGCACGAAGGAAATTGATTGTTCGACCAGAGAAATTGTTGCTCCAACTTATCAAGGTGACGTCAGATATCGGTCAGTTGCTCTTGAAGTATATATTAAAGAAGCCACAACAGATCATGCCTATCGAAACGTCCAGAAGAGCCAAAACGAATACTACCTTGAAGTTATACGAAGTATGTGCGAAGCTAAGACATTGATGCTTGCGCCCGAGTTTTGGTCGACCTGCGTTTTACTACAATAGACAATATTCTACACCCACGTTTCAGACGGCATTGCCCAAAACACTTTTTATAAATTTGAGACAACCTGACGATAGCCCTAGTTAACAAAAAAGACCCACTCAGAAATGAAGCAAATTAAAAACCAATTTTTTCGAAGACTGGAGAATATTAAGCTGCTAACAACTCCTAGGAGTCCATTGAGTCAAGTTCTTTGTTCATAAAAGAAAATATTTATCATTTCACCTTCACAAAATCCATAAATCGTATGAAACCACAATGCACATTCATTGCTCGTTCGGAACGAATAAACACATTTTCTTGTAGAAATGTGAACACATTGTTGAATAAAGAAATATAAATTTGTGTTGTTGTTGCTGTTGCTATTATTTGTTTTGGTGTGATCGTAAATATTTTACATATTCATCACTGTCTGAATACAAAATATAAAAAAATACTGAAATCAAATAAATAGCTATGATTTAATTGTTTATTAAAAATGCATAAAGAATAAGAAAATGTACAACAACAACAATAATAATTTGATATGGAGGGTGGCAAATCAGTGAAGATGTTCATTCAATGGAATGATGTTAATTAAGATTACATTCGTACTTCGTAAACAAAAATTAAGACGTTTTTGATGTCGAAAACAAGGCAGAAACTTCAATTTGTAATGACATCATTAAGGTTTGATGATGAAAAAAATATTGATTTTATTTTTGGAATTTTAAAGCAGAGGTGATGTCAGACTTAAAAAAATGTTTTTTATTACGAATTATGGCCTCTATTTGAATTGTTAATGATGTCATTAATAATATGCTATTGTTTGAAAGAACTGGAGAACAAGTTCGTAACATTTTGGAATTATATTTTTTATAAAATTTTGGTATCCACTAGCATTAAGCATTAAATTTATATATCCTCTCTAAATGCTTGAGTGGTTTTTATTTTAGTCAATAAAACTTGTGACTAATTTGGAACTTTTTTTAATTTTACACAGCTAAAAAAATATTATTTTATACCGATATGAATGATCATACTTTGGGTCTTTATGATTGATGAAATTTAAAGAACAGAATTTTTGGAACATCTGACATACTTTGAAATATTAAAACACTCAGATTGAAAAAAAAACGTTACAAAATTAACGGAATCTTTATGCCAATATTAAAACATGGACCTACACTTCCACACTCCAAGAAACCGGAATTGCAAACTACAGCCCCTTTGGTTATAAAAGCGGTAAAGACTCTAAAAATACAGAAAATGGCGCAGAACCTTTATATGGGGGCTATGTCAAAACATTGACTTATATCGAGCATATCGGACAAAGATATGTTGCACTCTGCAAGGGGTCCATATTACAGCCACTCCTGGAGTACAAATATCCTTTTCAATCTTTAAGAAACTTGAATGCAAAATTAACGCTACATCAGGTCGAATAATGTTGCAAAGTCTGAAAATGAAATTTTTATTTTGGCACTGTGTCAAAACATGGAACCATTCTGAAAATTTTCTGGGAAACAGTTTTTTATTCATCCAAAATATGGCATACCGGATGAATAAAAAGCGACTAAACCTTTAGAAATACCAAAAATGGAAGAAGACCTTCATAATAAGGGGCTATGTAAAAACACGGACCTATAATGAAAGTACTCTGCAAAGATATTTATTCAGCCTACGAGAATCCGAAATGCCAAGCACTGGTTGGAAACCGAATAGAATCTTATTCTGATCAATAATGTTGTGACAAATGACCGATTGGGGAGTGACAAATTTCTTTGACTTGTCTAAATATTTATAGCACCTATTCTATATAATCGACGTAAGTTTTTACTGGTCCAATTTCAATTAGTAAAGAATATCGTTTTACTTACCTCATCAGTGTTTTTGCGTAGGGTATCATTTAAGGAAATCACCCAGGCCATAAGCAATTCATTGACAATAACCAAATCGCTGTAGAGCCAACGGAAAACTTGGCTGGTCCAGGTTACGGAAGTCTAGAGAAGAAAAAAATTATTAAAATAGGAAAATATTAACTTTTCTTTTATAGTTTGTACTGTCAAATATTTTTTGAAATTAATAGTCTATTTCTGTAAAATTCAAATGGAATGAATTCGAACGAATTACTACCTAACTATTGTTTATGTAAAAAATGTGTTATTCAATAAAAATATAAATGACATATTTTTCAAAACTTTTGTTCAAAATTTTACAAAAACAGGCTGTAAAATTAAAAAAAGATATAATTAATAAAAATCACACTCACTGTTTCGGGTCCAACAACATTTGATGGTGGTGGTACATAACGCTTTTTACGATTTTCCGGTCCGGTCGAACTCTGACGCACCACACGTCTACGTGCACCCGCACCACCCATACCCAGACTACCACCAACACCGCCAATACCACCCGGACCGGGGGTACGACCACGTCCTCCACCAACACCACCAGCCGATGGTTTATTTAGTAAATCTTTAATTTCACTTTTACTAGCCAAAATATCACGGGGTTCCGATAAACGCTTTTCAGTTTTAATACCGGCTCCACCAGGAGCAACACTGCTCTGTCGACTATTACTGGCACTGGCGGGCTTTTCTTTAACCATATATTTCTGGTATAAAAATTTACACAGCCATACTAAGAAGAGAGCCAGAACGGCCCATATAAATATGAACATAGCTAATGAATCCATTGTTATATCACCAAGACCTTCAAATGTACAAATATAATCATCGATTTGATCGGCTAAATCCATAATAAGTTAAACAGCGTGGTGTGGAATTAAGATGATTGATGCATCATATCTGTAACGAGAGAAATGGAATAAATATTTTATTAGAAAAGTTGTTTAGAAAATAATTTACTTATTATTTCATATTAGAAAAAAGTTTAGAGGTGACAAATATTGTACAAAAAGAGCGAATATTTGATGAAAATTTTTTATTTCATTACAAAGATATTTGTATACACAACTTTAACTATATAAATTATATTAAAATTATAATTCCGTTTGAAACATGTCAAAATATTCTTTTTTTTTTTTTGTTCTCGGACCTTAAAAATTTTTTTCCCCAGGAAAGCCCCTGCATGTAGATGTAATAACAGAGCCGTATTCTCCAGATCTGGCGAATAACGTGACACAAAATGAGCTCATGGCATATGGAATGAGGTATATTTTTGCAAAATATACCCTCCTTTGAACTTGGTCTATACATGGTAATATATTGCGATAGGAGAAATCTGTATCAAATTCCACACTATATTCCCATTATATTATTTATTTGCTACCTCAATCACCGGAAATCATTCTGCGATAGTCTTGATCTTCGAACTTTATCAAGAATTGATCAAACAATGTCCAAGATTATGATAAAATTGTTACCCACCAGCCAAACGCATAGACAAATTTTAAATCATATCCGAATTAGGTAAAACTGAGGATATTGGACATGGTCTAGTGTGGTAAAATATTGTGAGGAGTAAAATCTGTGTCAAATTCCGTACAATGTTCGCATGATATTCTTTCATTTGTTTGTCTTCGAAATTCATATCTTTTTTATATGAGGTATCACAGGAAGTATTCTGTTATAGTAAAATCTTAAAACGCAGTCAAATATTGATCAAACAATATTACAATGTGAAAAGTTAGGATAAAATCCAATCCAATACCCACCAGACAAACGCATTTCTATTTCTAAACCATCTCCGAGTTATCTGAAACTGATTGTTGGATCAGAAGTACGCACCAGCTGATTAGTACAATTTCGCTATAAATGCTTGCTCAATGATTGGAACCTCAGCATTCTGTGTCCCGCGCACAAAAAAAGGAGACATGAACCCTGTGGGTTTTACATGATTCTCGCCTCAACGGCTTTAACCATGGTGCACCAATGGTTGTCGAAATTGAGCGTCGACCAGCGCCCCATTGGAAAAGCCCAGAGTACTCAACGAGCACTCTGAAGCCCATCCGCCGGTACCAATTCGAAGATCCACCGCAAAGCTTCACTTCCTCCTTGGTGAGGAGTCGAGGACTACCCAAACCTCTTGTCTTTCTATGGGTCAAGCACCCGGTTGATAATGCAACTCCACATCGAGCCGAAGCACTTCCCGCGAAATCTTTGGGCTAACCAACAGCCACCACATTGCACCCTATAGGGCCAATCCCAATCGTCAGGCTGAAACCTCTGTTTCAGGAGCTCCTGACGCCCGTGGCTCCGGAAAACCTCCGGCCGGTACTAGTTTTTTGTTTTAAGTGATAAGAGAACTAGTAACCTCCGCACAAATCAAGCGTCTTAACCTGAACAGCTTCACAATACAACAGTATTGTTAAACTATTGCTCTGCGACGTCGGAACACCGTATTGGCAAATTCTCCTATGCTAGCACGAGTTGAACTAGTGGATAGCACACGACTAACATCCCATTGGTCATCAACGTTAACGATACCCATGGACTCCAGGTTCCTCACATCCTCATACAGGGGACATGAGCAGAGAACATGAAGCCAGTACTTCACTGGAGCCCCATGACTACACATTTCTGTATCTGTCACGTTTATCCTATGCAAAAATGGATTCAGAGACCCATGACCCGTCAACAAGAAGCCCAGATGGAGGCCGAAACCAAAATCGGGGTTAGTCGCAACCAGGGACTTACGCAGGGAGGCGGCCCGGCCCCCCTAAATGTTTTTTTCACAGTAAATTTATGTATGTAACAGCGAATTTGTTCATTTTGTACTACCGGCCCGCCCCAAAAATGGAATCCTGTGTCCGTTGCTGGTCGCAACAAATGTAACATCCGGGATAAACCGAAATGTTAAACGCCCATTCTCACAAGTATTCCATCTAGATTGCCATCTAGAGATTACAAACTCGTGCAGCTTCGCTTTACGTACTAGAACACTCAATCGCTCTATACCTTCTACCGCCCAGTCATTGGGCACTATAGGCAGACCTCTTTTTGCCAGAAATGATACGTTTGCACGTAGCACTTCCAGGTCGAGCCCAACAATACCTGCATGGCTTCGGTTGATACCGTGCGGTATACAGTCATGATGGCTTGTCTGCCTGTATGCCGCACGGTATCATATCTTGCGATATCCATATCCCGTTACTGCAGTATGCCATATGGGAGCACCATAACCTTAAATGGTACAAAGTCAGCATGTAAAATCGGAAAGGGCCTCTCGGAGATTTTCAATACCGAACGAGGGTTCAGCCTAGGGATTCTTAGTCGAGCGTAAAAGTGGACTTTTAGACTTTTCAATTTTTGCCAGATGGACCCAGTTAGTCGAGATATAATGATTGGTATACTAAAAGTGGGTCTAGGACCAATAATGCACGGCGTTACAAACTCTGGGGGCCACACAAAACTATAATACCCTGACATCATAGTTGTGCAGGGTATAAATTGTAATGGTCATATTTTGAAAATTCTTCAGATATTAGGTTTTTGTTTATTTCTTAAATAAGGATCCTTAACTTCGGTTAAAATTGTATCAATAAAAATATAGGGACTTAGCTTCTGCATTTATACGGAATATGGAGTCAGTCTCTCTACATGCTGATCATTATAATCCTTCCTAAGACTACACGATAAATGTTATTTATATTCGAAATTTGTTTACGTTACAATTCGAAAAATTATAAAAAAATATTACATGTGTTAAAACTTACCACCTATTAAATATTTTTGTTTTTGAAAATTTACAACAAAATATGTTAAGGTAATATTTTCGCTGATTTACCAAATGTAAACAGACGAAGAAATCCGCAATTAATGTGTGGTTCTGAAATAAATCACTTCAATGAAAAAAAAAAACATGTTTCTTTTCTAAACAAAAATTTCCAAAATAAACAACTTGATAATATACAGCGATTTTAATTTAAATTTAGCACCTTTTCAAAATATACTTTGCTGGAGAATGGAAGAACGAACGCAATAAAAACCGCAAACAGATAACCAAAAATAATGTAAATTTACAAAAAATCGATTGAATAAATAATGCAATAAATTTTGAATTTAACTTAAATTATTTTTTTTAGAGCAGAAATTGTTCTCGTTGCGCTTATATTTCGGATGTGAGTATGTGTGTGTGCTTAGAACAATATGTTTACATATTTTGATTGTTGTTTTTTTTTCATTTGCAAAATAAATCGAAGCAAGAAAAGAAAACAACTACACATCTGGGATCTTGAAAAATGACAAGTAAATGAAAAACAAAAAAGTGTAGAATAACTAAATTGAAATAATACACAATTTATTTGTTAAATATTTTTTTTTTTGTTTCATAAAATACACGAACAGATGGTTACGAAGCAAACACCACCAGAGCGAATGTATTATTTAGAAAATCCCCACTAGCGCGAAAATATATCATCGCCGTGCTAGACATTCGTTCGTTTTTCATTCACATCTTCTCTTTTCGTATTTTTTTATTCTTTGTGTGTTTTTCTTTTTTTCAACAAAATTTTGTAGGCTATTTTTAGCTGGGATTTTCTTTCGTTTTTTTTCCGAATGTTTCAAATATGAAATACAATTTTCAAAGTTATATTTCCGTTGAACTATTCATAATGACCGATATTTGTTTCTCAGTTTTATTTCTTTTTCACTTTCAGATTTATTTTTAATTTTTATTTTATTTGATGGGTTTGTGACAATTGTGATCTGAAAAAAAAACTCACTTGACTATTTCATCCACTTATTTTCAATAATATTTGTCAAATGTATTAAAAAAAATTATATAAATTATGGAAAACTTAAAAAACAGCAAAAAAAAATGAAAACTAAATTCTTATATGGAAAACTTTTTAAAACAGAAAACCAAAATCGTTTCGAAACTAAAACCGTAAACCGAAAATATAGGAGAAGAACAAACGAAAAATAATTAAAAACCGAAGCGCGTTTATCGGAAAATGAAAATTTTCACTTTCAAACCCCAAAAGAAACTGAAATATGTTTTTTTCGGGAGGAGACACAGACACCACAAAAATCATTGTGCGGAGAGATTTGTTGCACAAACATAAAAGAGAGAAACGAGAAAAAGCTTTAGAAGTTCGTGGGCGATGTGAAACGGTAATGGCGGCGTAATTTTTTATTTGTTCCCAGGAGGGGGCATGTAAAGAACACCTGTTAGGTTTTTGAGGAACAGAATGGAAACTTAATACCCTTCACCACACTGTGGTACAGGGTATTATGTCTTTGTGCATATGTTTGTTACAGACAAAAGGAAATGAGATAGACACATGGTTCATTTGGGAATATGCATAGAATAAATTTCTGAGTTGATTTATGCAGGTCCGCCAAAAAACAAAGTTCAAGTCGCATTTATAATCCGAAATAAATAATTTGGAACAGCTCAATTATTTGGCCTTAGGACGAACCCAGTCGATATAGTTAATTCTCGAGCCAAAACTTCTATTTTTTTATTTCCTTATTTTGTAACTTGGTTTGTGGACAAAAATCGGCGATTTTCCAAAAATATTCTTTCAAAGGTCGGCCATTTTGTTAATTTTTGAGCGAAGTCAATAATCCTAGTTCATACGAGAGCCAGACATGTACTCTTTCTAACACCGTTGGAATTTTCGGATTCTGATGTTCCAGAGTTATCATGCCCGCCATCAATTTTTTTTCTTTTTTTTTCTTTAATTGCAAAAAAACAACAACAAAACAATAACAACAATTTTTTGTAAATTATTTTTCTTCTCTTTTAAATCTTCAAATGTATGTATATGTGCAAAGTAACAAACCTTAACAAGCATTGGTATTGATTTACCAGCCCATTGAAAATCTCTAAAAATTAAAATC